GGCGTGTATCTATAAGGATGGTGTATAAAAAACACATTATTATTATTAAGTTTATTTTTGTTTGAAAATTGAACATGGCTTAAGTTTTTTGCTATTCAACATTGTTTAAAGAAACACAAATTTATTGGGACGTGCATTACTTCATTATCTATCTAATTAAGCAAAAGTTAATATTACGTAATTCGACTTATGCCATTCTTCATATATATAAATGTAAATGATACTTATTCTGCCTTGGTTAGCAATCAGATATGTTGTATATATTAGCGGTTTTAAAAAAGAACAAGTGAAAGTAATTTCTTATTTTGATTTCTTTTCATTCTGAAATCTCAGTAATTGTGTAATACTTTTCGTAAGGAAAATGAAAACTCATTACCATGTCATACTTTTTTTCTGCAAAACAACAAGTCGGTGTAATAGACAGCTGTGTTAAATGGCACCAAATAGTTCAAATGCCCACGATTTTGGTTAGTCTCCCCATTCTATCGTGTCAACCGCGTTATCGAGTTCTTCTATTGTTTAAATCAAGTTTATATGTGTTATTCTGTATTGTATTTTTGTTTTGTTCTTTCGTAACAATTTTTATAACTAGGTAAAGTTTGAATATTGCGTATAAACACTAGCACGCCATTTTACCGTTAAATCATACCTACTATTGCTTAATTTTTAAATGAAATCGTTTGCGTATCATAGTGAAAAACAAATCTGAAGAATCTACTTACGAAAGTATACATTATTTCGAGTAATTTGACATAAATTAGTAATGAAGCTAATTAACGGAATTAAAGTAACCTCAATGATACCTAAATACCTAAAAGTTAAAACTATACTTTGGTATTATGTTCTATTGAATATCACGATGTTGTACTACCATCATGGTAGTACAACATCCTAATCCAATTTTTTTTTTGTGAAATTGCTCCACTATTTTGTTGTAATTATTAATACAAACATCGAACACAAAGAAAGTAGCAGTAGCGCTCCTTGTGAACGAGTTCCTCCAAGGAAGTACTGCCACTTTACCTATTTCTGCCGCCAAGGAGTAATGTGAGCATTACTGCGTTCCAGTTTTGAAGGGTAAGGGTGCTCGTGGAATTACAAACACATGAGAGTTTTCGACTTACGTGTCAGGGTGATGGACGTAGAGGCAGTGCACTTCAGATATATGCAACTTAAAGCTCTGAGTAGTACTGCGACTGTTATGGACAGGCGTGTCGTTTACCGTCAGGCGCACGAATTGTTCGTCCCATCACTTGGTATCCTAAGAAAAAATTACAAACAAAGATCTGCAATCTGCTAGTTGTTTCTGCATGTTAGTACGGATAGCGTCAACCACGATATGGTGAAGGCGCTGGTTTGAATCCGGCCGTTTCGAAAGAATTTATCTTTGTGTTTCTATAAGTACTTCGAGTTTTTGAGTTAATACTCAATACTCAATACTCAATTTTTTGAGTTAATACTCAAAAAAAATCTAATTTCCATGTATAGCAAACGCATTAGCGTTTACTAAGATTATAGTAAGGTTTTACCATTAAACGTGCACGTATAAACTGTTTTTGTCCATTTCAGAAATGTCGTCGTACGTTTTGATCCTATCACTTATTATTTCCGAAAGAAAATATGAACCTGAAAATGTTTGTTAGCCGTGTTGATTCCATTATTTTAATTGATTTATATTGTGTCAGAAGAATTATAGTTTCTGTTAGATTTTATTAAAGTACGACAGGTTGGTCGACCCGACTGATCTAGGGTATTTTGTAAACGCAGTAATGGAACGTAACTGTAAGCTCTGTTAATTAATATAATTAAACATTACAATTAAATCTATCATTAGATAGTTCTTTGATGGAATCTGCCTATTAGTAAGTATCAATGAGTCTACCAAAATCCATATATTATCATCAAAATAATAAAAATAACGTGTCAGACTCCTACTGCCAGGTCTAAAACCAGGTAATTATCTGTACTATGAATACCAGAACATCCAGACCAAAACCAATTTACAAAAGTCCAATTCCCAAATTGGTCTTACCAGGAATCGGGCCCGGGATCTCCGTATCGAATTTTTGCCACACATTGCCAGCCATCGGACTGCAGTGGTTGTCAAACAAAAACGTAAAATAGAATTTTGAACTATCGAAATTATTTAAGAAACTTATGATTTCAAGTTTCAACGTGAAGACGTTGTTATATTTACTTTATTATCCTTAGTGGAACTTTTCGTAGTTTATGTTTTTTTATTAGATTAGAGCCGCAACGAATTTTAATTTTAGTAGAGTTTTAACACTACTGCATTTCGCGCGCGTAATTGTCAAACCAAAAAACTGTATTGCTGCGTACCGAGTTATGTCAAAATAATTCATAAATTTTAAAACTTACAGTTTATTTTAGTTGCAACATCTCATTCAAAAACACTAATACCTCCAAACTTGAAATGTCAGGGTATAGATTAGGCCTAGAAAAATAATATGATTGCTGTTAAATCAAAACACTGTAAGTGATTTGACAGTATTTAGGTTTGACAGAGCAGATTATATATTTTTTAATATTTTTTTTTTTTCAATTAACCCGCAAATGACGCTGTGATAAAGACTTATCCGACCTCCACGAATTTTCCTATAGCTGCAAATTTTTGTAAAAGAATTGGATTTAAGAATTTTCAGCCCCAATTTGTTCGCGAGCTATTTAAAAGAAACTGACAAAAAAGACGAGTTCAATTTAATTAGAGCAGTTGGAAATATTCAGGGTAGGGGCATGAATATGACGACAATAGGGCTTCTCGGGCAGAAGAGGGGGGAATCGAGGCGGAGTTGAGCGTAGGGTTGCCTGCATATTTAATAAACTAAGAAGAATCCGTCGTATAAAACGAAAAGGTACATAGTTAACACTATATGCTGTTTTTCTTTTGAACTTTATATCACATAAGTTTCAAACACATCTCCTTCCTTTCTACATAAGTTTTGATTATAGTGACCCTCCGTACCGACCCTTAGGGTATACGAGAAAGGCTCTATTACCGTGCACAGGAAACTTCTAAGTTCAGGTTCTGACCCTAGATTAGCCAGTGTACAGGGTTATCACTGACTACATCAGGTTCTCAAGAGACTAGTGCCTCGAGTGAGCCGCTCCGGGTGCACGTACAGTAACCTCCCTATTTTCCAGATAGGTATCGGAGCTTGTAGGCTCGCTCACTTCCCGTTGCGCATTACACAACTACTTAACGCTTGCCACCGCTAGGTCGTTGACTCTAAAGTCCACTACAAAATCTCCTCCTTGGTGGCGGAGCTGTAAGTCACTTCCCGACGCCTCTGGAGGCGTCTGACCAGCTTCCAGGAACCTACGCGGCTAAAGAGACCAACGAATGTCTAGCGCTCCGGGCTAGTACTGCAGATGTCAGTCGTAGTGTCCTGCGACAATGTCTGGACATAGCTTATAATTTAAAGGGCAATTCACGTGTCTCGCACGTCTCCTCGCCTTAGGCCCTCGTCTAGACCGCTACTAACAAGCGTTAGCTGCGCACGAGACAGATGTCCCGGCCACACATCACCGGAGCAGACTAACGTGTCTGTTTTTGCAGCTCATCACAAACCCCGGCGGATCCATACCCAAGTCCGAGTGCACCAGTGACGCCCGCAAAGGTGTATCACTGGCGGAGGGCTTGGCCCGGACGCCTTTCGTGCCTTGGTCTTACCAAGGAACCCGTAGTCTCCCCGGAACTCCCTACCACTCGGGTCAGTAGATAAACATCGTCAAATACCTAGGAAAAAATTTCAAATACAGTTTGATTAGTGATTTTAGAAGCGTAGAGTTCCTTGTGAAAGTTTGTCCAAGGACGTACTGCCACCTTATCTGTTTCTGCCGCCACGTGGTAATGCGAGCATTACTGCGTTACGATTTCGAAGGTGGCGGGGCCCATCAGATCTTTGCGATTTACGGTCTGAGTGGCACTGCAACTATCAGGGATAGGCGTATCACTGTCTACCAGACGCACGACTTGGTTGTCCCGTGGTTTCATCGTGGTGTTTTTTTATTTATTCCGTGAACGTTTTTTTACTATACGCGGACTATAAAAGTAAGGAAGGGTTTTGGTCGAAGTGACGTAGTAAATAATTCGGTCATGCGATTGTCAACCCTAAAGGTACAAACAAAAGATGTGGATAATTGAAATCCCACTTGAACGCACTCCGCCTTAATTAATGGTATGCATTCTTCGAATCCGGGTTTTACCCCACTTCAAGGTAGTTTTATATATTTGTGGACGATTAATTCATGTAGAGTTTTATTTATATTTTTGCCATACATAAAACAGCTAAAGAGCTTTCATAAAGGTGGCTACCCTTAGCCATACGTAGCAAAGAAAAACCAACTTTGTTAACTAACCAAACATTCGCATAATATTAATCTTATTAAATATTATTTCGAAGGCGTCAGTTTGAAAGTACTACAATAATGGGTAAAGACATTTTTGAATGAATGAATGAAAAATTCTTCATGGCAAATTGAAAAGTTACAATGCAAACACAGAATTGCAAATGAAAAGTATCACAGAATAAAATAATGTACAACAGGCGACTTTATTGCCAGGTAGTAATTTCTTCCAGGCAACCTTAGCACTTAGGATTATTCGCGAAAGGATTCTCACTAATTATAGGTTTCTTACCATGGTATGAGTTATTTATGTTCCCGGTATTTCGGAACGGTTACACGCTTCATGGTCACGGGTTGACTGGCTGTATGGAACGTGACCATGAAGCACTTTAGTGATAATTATTTAATAATTTTTGTGGGAAAGGGGGTGCAACCACAGAATTTTAATAGAAATGTTTCAAATAAATCCACTACACATTGAATATTAATAATATATGTACATATAGATAATAACAAATAACAATAAAATTTACCATAAAACAAATATTATTAATAATAAATAAATAAACACAGGAAAATTATAACATTTTCGTATTCACGAATACTAATTGTTTGTTTTTGTCTTGTTACAGATCGGGAGCTTAAACAATTTCTTTCTATTATCACATCCACATGTCAGCAAACGATCGCCAAATGCGAGCATCGACTATCATAATAAACTCAAAAATGATCCACAGGTGAGTCTTCTTTATAAAAATCATCATCAATAACAACCATTATAATATATATATATAATAATAATAATAATAACGCACACACTCAACAGTACCCCGCGCTAGGGAAACCCTGTGTCGCGGGTGCCATAGACACACACATAGACAACCACAAATCACACTCAAACTCACAGAGAAACAAATGCAGGCCATACAAATACTTCTCCCGGCCCGGGAATGGAACCTGAGACCTCTACGTGGCAGACCAGCATCGTAACCTTTCGGCCATGAAGGCAGTGAAGTGAAATGTGGGACATGTATGCTATCGTTACGAAAGGATTTGCCAATCTATGACGTAAGGTACATGCCGATTGTTGCCCAGGGTGCGTGGGATATATAGGAACTTGAATAGTAACGACATTGCTGATGACTAATATTTTTATACTTGTGGCCGATTTGTATTTTTTTAATATATTTATATACAAACTAAGTTCAGTGGTCCAAGATGATGAGAGAAGTGGTACAAATGAAAAAAAAACCTATTTTAGATTGTCGTCTCTCCCACTAGAACAGACGCCCGGGGTCAGGGGAGCAGGCTCAAGAATCTTCAAGCAACACATGTTGTTATTATGATTGTTACCAAATTACGACATAGGTCGTAAGTTAGCTAGACGGGTGGGCAAATGTTTTTGCCTGTTCTGCTGTATGTCTCCCGTATAACGCACGATACTGTGGTTGTCTTTGTGTTTTTTAATTAAATACGTCGCTCCAAATTTATATAACAGTAAATTTGGCTTCTAATATTGAAAGAGACCTTACTATAACCCGAACGCTAAAGGTTTTTAAGTGATACTTAATTGCTTTTATTTATATAACAAGAAATTTTATAACGTTACCCAGTGGCAGAAGATTCATGAAAATATTTCTAGTTTAACAAACACATACCCTCAAAAACTTGGATTGTGTACCGTTTAATTCAATTTCATTTAAGGTTTTCGTGGCATATCTCTCCTGAAAACTGAGCTTTAATTTCAACTCTATGCCACTTAGTTTGTCATCGACTATAATTTAAAATTAAGTATGCTTAATTGTATTGTGACGAAATTGAACATTTAAAAAAATAAATTTTGTGCCATAGTTCATTTTATAGATGAAAAAGACGGGAATCAAAATCTCTAGGTGTCACAAGTCTCCTATTTTTTTAAAAACAACTGGTAAATGTAATTAAGGTTATTCTGCTAAAATCTACTTGCTTGCTCTACTTTGAATCTCAACGAGAAAAGAGAGCGTCAGTTTAATAGCTGGCATTCATCTATTCAACCACTAACGATCGACGTTGCCTTATTAAGACTACCATTAAAATTAGTAAGCATTATTCCATTTTTACAAAATTAAACTCGATAATTAATATAAGCACTTAAACTGTAAGTAAAAACGAATGGAAAGTAACAATTTTAGTAGCAGGTAGAGCTCCACGTGAAAGAGTTCGTCAAGGGTAGTACTGCCATCTTGCCCACTTATGCCGCCGCGCAGTAATGTCAGCATTACTGTGTTTCGGTTTTGAAGGGTGCTGGTGAAATTACAGGCACATTGGTCTTGTCAACTTCTGTCTCAGAGTGACGGGCGCAGTGGCAGTGGGATTTAAAGCTCTGAGTGGCACTGCAACTCAGAGCGCGGAAGGCGTGTAGCTTAACATCGTCATCAGTCGTGCGCCTACTTGTTCGTCCCGTCACTTGATATTATAAAAAATAAAAATCTTCAAATAATTAGTGGACTACACCAACCGCCAACGGCGTGCCACAAAAAATTGCAATGGCAGTTGAATAATAGTCGATGGCTAACTGAGTGGCAATATTAAGTGAGGCGTAGCGTCGATTTCTGCCGCCCGGGGTCAATCGTAAATTTGTTGTCCCTTTTATTTTCACGATTACAAAAGTAGTACCTTCGGGCAGACTCGGCTCGATTGTATTTTTATGTTCACCTGCCGTCGCCACCTTTGTGTTGTTCAGAATATCATTCTCTCAAATATTGAAATTTTTAGTAAATAAAATGTAATTAGTTAAGGCTTTGTCGCGCTCATCGTCTTATCCATTGCTGTCCCGCTGCCACCCGGAGCCATGGATCCCCCATGCAACTGCAGCTGTTATAAACAAGCGTGTCGGTTACCACCAGGTGCACAACTTCTTCGTTCCGTCACTTGATATCAGAAAAAAAGTGTGGAATGTAATTGCACGATGTAATTCCGCCTTTCCTTTTCCAACATCGCAGGACTTATATTATAGATATTCCAAGGATTCGTACTGAATTTTACGCTTCCAGATTTACATGGTGAACGACTTTGTCATAGTCACTATGGAATGTAATTCCCTACCAGCAGATTGATTCCATAAACACTATGACGGTCCTTTACAAGGCAAGAGTGAATAGGCATTATAATGTGCATAATCCATCGTCGTGCATAACCTTATCATAACTTTCCATTAGATGAGATGGAAAGTCAAATGCGCATTTATTTCTTTTTTATATAAAAATGGAAGTTACGCGATTACTCCGACATTTGTGAACCGATTTCGATAATTCTGTTTTTTTATTGGAAAGGAGGGAGTGGTCCTATTCAAATTTGAAAAAAATATTTCACCTCTATGGGATTAGGTGATGAATCCGGCTTATTGAATTTCACCCACTTCCCATTCATTTATTTCAATAAATCTTGGCCCACAGAAAACTTGGAATTCCAAAAAAAATAAAATGTTATGGTGACCAAGAGCTGATCTGATGGTGGAAATGGCAGACAGATGAAAGGAACTTCTTAACAGTGTACAACAGCTACCTTATGTTTGGGCTCCCTCTGTACCACTCACGCTAAGTACTGTGTTTAGCAGAATTTAGCACAAATGAGATGATTTAAAATTAGTCGTGATTCTGTTTCATTATATTTTTTGCACTAAGTATTTTGAGTTAATACATTTAAATAAATTAAATGCAGATAGCACTTCTACGGGCGTATAACACTCAATATAGAGCCACTTCATAACAAGCCATGCGTATATTGATTGTATGCATAGATATTGCGTATTAATTTTTCCCCAAGTTTGGAAAACATAAATAAAATAAACTTTTCTCGATTTGATCTATGTTAAGGATCGTGCTTTAATAGGATTTGAATAATTTAATCGAATTATTCATAGGTTGAAGCCGTGGTAGCCTAATGGTTTGATCTACTGTCTCTCAAGCAGAGGGTCGTAGGTTCGAATCCGGGCTCGCACCTCTGAGTTTCTCGGAATTTATGTGCGAAATTTAATTTGAAATTTATCATGAGCTTTCGTGAAAACATCGTGATGAAACCTGTACGTTGAAGAATCCAACCCGCAGTGGGCCAGCGTGGCGGACTATGACCTAAACCCTCGTCTGAAAGGAGACCCGTGCCCAGCAGTGGGACATATACATGGGTTGATGATGATGATGATTCATAGGGTAAACTTAATGCGTGTGGTAGGTATAGGAATTAGAAAAGTAATTGGAAGCCATGTAACATGAATAAAGGTTTTGTGTTCTAATGGGTTCTAGTTTTAGAAGTGTGATTTTGAATTCTGAGTCTTTTGATAATAGTTTGAGTGTTGTTTGAAAAGTTTAAATTTTGAGTGGTTTTAGGGTAACTTGAAGTGTACTTTAAAAACCAAATCATTCCAAAATATTAATTATTAATTTATGAGGTACGATCAAACGAAATTGAATAACAGTTACGGTCGTTTTTCCCAATTTAGCGTCAATTATACATGAGGTTGGCATTTCTAGTATAAATGGCAAATAAGTAAAAAAAAAAGTGGACTTGAACCTCTAGCTGGTTTGTTAACAAAAAGCATAATAGTATAAATCAAAAAGGGTATTCATGTATTGTATCATTAAAAGTACAAAAAATTACGATTGGTTGACCCGTTCATAGCGGTATACTCGCATATAAGAATCAGATCAGTGCATAATAAAAAATGGACAAAGACAAGACAATGCCAAGTGACGGGACGAACAAGTCGTGCGCCTGATGGTAAGCTTCACGCCTGTCCGTAACAGTTACAGTGCCACTCAGTGCTTTAAATTGCAAAGATCTGAGGGGCACTAGGTAACCTTACAAAAAGGTAAGGTCGCAGTACAACCCTGAATGAACCGTTTCACAAGGAGCGCTACTGCGACTAAAAACTGCCTCTGTGGCCAAACGGTTACCATTTTGGACTGCTACGCTTAGGTTTCGGGTTCGATTCCCGGGTCAGGTGAAATATATGTATGGCCTACATTTATTTCTCTCATGAGTTGGGTGTAATTTGTAATTGTCTACAGGGTTTCCCTAGTGCGAGGCTATTAATGTGGGCATGACAAAAAATCACAAAGCTATGAGGGGCACTGCCACTGCGCTCGTCACCCTGAGACATAAGTTGGCAAGCCCCATGTGCTTGTAACTTCATCACCTTCATTACCTCACTTGTCCTTTCAAAGCAAAACACAGAAATATAGGTATAGTTGAAGAAATATTATTTGCACTCATGAATATTATCTCTTGAAACGGCTTATCCTTTCTGTTACAATAGAGTAATAAATTGTCACTTCTTTTACTCAAAATGTACATGGACTTAACGACCTTGGTCTATCGTATCGTGGGTGTATTAAATGCTTTTTCTGAATTATAGTTTTGAATTATTTCTTTACTCATCAGGTCGAATTTTTAACTATAGTTACGTAAAATACCGACTGCTGACTTTTTTCTTACTAATCCAACAAAGTTAGTTCCGCATAAAGATTATCAAATTTAGAATAAGTGCCGATACGTAAAAGTGTTTCAATTACAGTTTTAATTAATACAGATGGCAAGTGCGTTACCGAGACGGCTCACTCTTTTGTCCTATTGTATTCTAATAGCAATAAAACGAATCCGTAAAAATGATATTTTGCCAACTTATAGCGTAGCAGCATTTCCCTGGGCGAACTCTTTCACAAGGAGCTCTACTGCTATTAAATGGAAATTGTTGTTGTAATTGGTTAATTATTAATGATAGCCGTGTGAGGAAATGTATAAAATCACGGATCGCTAGAGGCCGCCGTAACGTGAACCAAATAGTCATGACCCCGAATTTTCGACCTTTGAATAATCGACCTCACATTTTGTTTGAATCGCCCTAAGGGTCTGATTTTATCGAAACCCTAGATAGTGAAGTTAATTAAAGACTCTTTTGTATTAGAAAGGCTGTTTTTGGAGAACACAAGCCGACTTTAATCGGCTTGTGTTGTGCGACTATATAATTCCTATTTCCACGTTTCTTGCTGTCTCTTTTCTTTTTTAACCGACTTCAAAAAAAGGAGTAGTTTCTCAATTCGACATTTTTTCGTATGTATGTTATGCGATAACTCTTTGTGATTTGTGAACCGATTTTGATGATTCTTTTTTGTTGGAAAGAGGGTACCCCAGTAGTGGTTTAATTTAAATTTGAAGAAAATATTCCACCTTTAAGGGTGGCAAACCCGAGTTTGTAATCCCCTAGGATTCATTCAGACTTTCAAGGTCGGTTTTTTTAAGTACAGGGGCCTTACTATGAACTCTTATTACAGTTCAGTATAGGTTCGTAACGACATAAAAGCGGGATAGTGATATACTCACAACGACTCATTTTAGGTCCTAAACTGAATCGTAATACGACTTCATGGTAAGGCCCCTGTATTGATTACCATATAAGTATTTCTGTTGTTTGTTCCCTAATACCAAAACCACCTTATGTGTTATTTTCAACTATTAAAGAATCTTATATCCCTTTTAAAATAGTTTCATATTCATACTCATCTTTATTTGCTTGCCACAAGGTTTTACAAAGATCTTAAATATATTATTCCCATACATGTCCCTTGCAAGGCGCTACAAATTTAGAGAGCACTGCAAACTAATATTATGAACCAATCAAAACTTATTTTATAAAACTATGGTTAAACATTAATTGCTACTAAATTTAAATAAAGTTAAATACTAATTATTAAAAATTTTCCCTTTTTTCACATAAATCGTTTATTACATAAAACACGGTTACAAATTTTAAGCCCGCCAAAGAGACACACTCTCATCATAAGCAATAAACCTAGATATAAGCCTACCTATCGTGCGTCATAAAATACACTCACAGAGATATACCAGAATCAATAGTACAAACCTTAGTCATCTGATATTTGTGATAACAATTTCTTTTTCGCTTTCGTTTTTAAAATTTAATTTGGATAAGAAATGAAACTATTTTTCCGGATTTATATCACGTATATTTATTTTTTCAAACAAACCAACGTTTCGGGACCTTTACAGGTCCCATTGGTCACGATTGACTAAGGTTGTTCAATCATCAACCAATTATGTCGAATATTAATGCAAACTACCCTATTTTTTCACTATAGTTACAAAAGTTATTAATTATATACCTTATTTTTAATTTTACAAAGACACATTCCGCTACATTATGTTTTACAAATTATTTTATTTTAATAATAATAATATGAATTTTTATTAGGTTAAATTTATTATTAATTAATAATGGAAATTAGAAGTCATAAGCCTGTTTGGGATTTTTCATCAGAGGAAGGATTCCAAACTAGTGGTACGGAAAAATCATCTTTTCTGTTGAAATTAGGATGTTTTTAATTTCAATGGCCTCTCGCAGCATCCTGGGCAGATAACGGACTTCTTTTGCAAGGACCTGGGGCCTTACCATGAACCCTTATTACAGTTCAGTATAGGTTCGTAACGACAAAAAAGCAGGATGGTGATATACACTTCATACAGCGCTGTCTCATAACAACTCATTTTAGGTCCTAAATTGAATCGTAGTAAGAGTTCATGGTAAGGCCTCTGGAGTTTGTCAAACTTCATTGAATGTGTAGGTTTATCCATGACATGCTCGCAGATTGCAGTCTTGTTTGCGCGACGATGTTTGACATCAGCCATATGTTCTTTGACGCGGGTACAAATACTTCGCTTCGTTTGTTTAATATAAGAGAGACCGCACTCACAGTCAAGTTCGTAAACACCTACATCCTGTAATTTATATGAATTATTTTCGTCAACCGTAAGAAGCCGTGGTAGCCTAATGGTTTGACCTACTGCCTCTCAAGCAGAGCGTCGTGGGTTCGAATCCGGGCTCGCACCTCTGAGTTTCTCGGAATTTATGTGCGAAATTGAATTTGAAATTTATCATGAGCTTTTCGGTGAAGGAAAACATCGTTATGAAACCTGCACGTTGAAGAAGGTTTACAACCCTCGAAAAACGTGTGAAGTCCCCAACCCGCATTGGGCCAGTGTGGGCGGACTATGGCCTACATCCTCGTCAGAAAGGAGATCCGTGCCCAGCAGTGGGACATATAAATGCGTTGATGATGATGATTTTCGCCAACATTCAGGTATATACGACATTTATTGAATAATTTCTAGTTCTTTGACCAAAGTAATTTTAACTGCCTCTGTGGCGGAACGGTTACCATGCCAGATTACCACGCAGAGGTCCCAGGTTCGATTCCGGGGCCGGGAAAAATATTTGTATGGCCTACATTTATTTATCTCGTGAGTATGGGATTTATTTGTGGCTGGCTATGTGTGTGTCCATGGCACACGCGACACAGGGTTTCCCTAGTGCTGGGCTATGTTGAGTGTGTGCGTTATTATATTATTATTAATTTATAATATATTCTCTATTGTTAACAGATCTAGTAGTCTCTATTTTATACAATGCTTATATAAAGCCTATGTCTTTATATTCTACCAGGTGAGATGGGTAATGCAGCAAAGAGAGCTGCGGAGAGAGAAGCGGGACCATTCCAGACGCCACGTCATGAGGCAAACTAGCACGCCCACCTTCCCTGACCCTTTGTTCAAAGAACAGTGGTATTTGGTGAGTATATTATACACAATTCGAATAACATACTTGACCGTGGATGAAGTCATAAAATATGACAGGTTAATGATCTTCATTGACAGTGTCGGCAACATTCACGGCTCAACTTAAAACGGAGTATTAAAAAGGGAACTTTTGGTCTTATCCTGTATATTATTCATCATAACATAAATATTGAGCAACACAAACGAGCAGTGCGGCAGCAGCGCTTTGTGTTTGGTTTTCCTTTGTATTTTTTTTTCTCAAATTGTTCTTTACTGTACGTGTCTAAATTGTAAGCCTACTTTTGAATGTTTCATTTATTGTTAAGGCCCAGTGGTCATGCAAGTGTGCTACTACGTTTAAATTATACGCAGAAGACAATTCCAGATTGATGCAAATAGATGTCGTAGCTAATGAAACCTCATTGAGAATACAAGCCTGACATTTATATAGACTGATTTTAATTTTTCACTTCAAAACTGTTAACTGACTGGACGATCGATAGAGGTCACGAAACGTTGAAGTGTTAAAATAGGTTCATTACCTTTTAAAATTTTTTCCTATGTTGTACGCAACTGCAAATATCTTTTTCTACTACTGCATTTTCTTTAATCTGTTAATCTCTTTTTAGTTCTGCACCTAAATTATATTATCAAAGGTATTCGCAGTAGAACTGAAAAATTTCATTATAGTTCTTTACACAGAACTATAATAAGTGTAAAAAAAACGTCGTAATTTTGCTAATTAAAAAGGTCTTCAATCAACGCATCACTGTGTTCCTGAACTGAATAACGTCACTGTATTTGCAACATTATTAAAATTAAAATTATTTTATTAAATATTATCTCAAAATTTTACGTAACAGGAACAAAGGTCCATTTGGCAGAAAGTAACTATTTAAAACCAATGTAAATAAAATAATCTTAGTATATTGGTCGTGTTATGGTTGTATTACATTATTTTAATTTACTCGATGAAAAAGTACGGTGTGTAATCATTGCACAATTAGGTCTTAACTCGTACCTATTACATAAGGACAACGGCAGCTACTCCCAGTACATTATTAGATTTTTTATACTGTCAACGCGAATATGTACGTAATATGTTCTGTAATTGTCTATTGAAGACTGATGCTATGTGGTTTATGTGTCGTATAACGTTTTTATTACTGTTAATCGGTGTTTTTTTTTTCACATGTTATTGACTGATCGTTAACTTAGTAGACTGAGTAGACAAAAAGAATTGGAGCTGCGAGGTAATTTATTCGCTTTAAATAATTAATGTTCTCACTTAATGACTTCTATAGTTTTTACGACTGGAATTTCTCGAATGTACATTGAGCATAAAATATCAGTCTACATCTCTAGAATAAAAATTGGATTCCGTTATTATTTAAGACGTTTTGTGACACGAAATCACTTGAATTATCAGTTTTCTGTGTTTATGTCCTAATTGTAATATTTGAAACTACGTTTTAAGATTCTTGTAAAATTCACAACACCTTCTAACATTGATAATTATTTAAAAGTTTTCGTCCCTCAGAAAAATATATTGAGTTAATTGTGTTTTTTTTACACCAATAAAAGTTTGAGTTACAGATTTGCCTTTAAAGTTAAGTCTTTAAAGTTGGCCTTTAAAGTTCGACGACAAAGAGAAACGGGGGATAGGAACGGACAGCTTTTGCATATATTTATCTAAACGTAAACATTAATCTGTTATAAAGAAATTTTATTGGAAATGTAAATATTAAAGGCTGTCACCCAAGACCTAGTCTGTGGTAGACCCTAAATCTCAAAATAAGGGTATTTGCCGTTTGAACATAGAAAATCACAACTTTTTTGTACTATGCGAAAATGTTTAACGTGTTATTCACAATCATAAGATATACGTTATGAAGTTTATTAATGCACCTAAATAGATGAAATTAATATTAGCTGCAATTAGTAAGGCTGTAATTCTGTCTTTTTTACTGTCTACACACATAAATATACCAATTGTGGCTATGAAAAGTTTGGAATGTCGTCATAAAATCTTGCAGAAAAGTAATGGAAATTGTAATTCAAAACGTGAGTTTTACTGCTAACGAAATAGACTGTTCGGAGGGCGGAATTTTCCGGAGGCTTTGATTTAGAAAGACAAGTGAATGATGGGTACTTTAATACCAGCTCTAATATAACGTAGGATTTTTTGCATATTTTCTGTTGTCACGGATTGTTCCATCAATGGAACAGGAAAATTTACGAATTTCGTCATACTCCTTTTGATGAATGATTTATTTCCCAGAAATATGACACGATAAAATATTATACAAATACTTTTATCACACAAAAGAACCATAATAAGAAGACAAACACAAGATACGGTACAACAGTCGGCCATGTTGCTAAATAGCAATATGTATCAGGCAACACAGAGGTGACAGGAACATCTAAAAATAAAGATAACTGAGGGTACAAATAAAAGTAATCATAAACGAACCCAATACTAATGTATCCTCTTATTTAAGTTTTCCAATTTAGTTTAACCATCTCAAAAATCAATAAATGATTTTATTTACGTAACATCTGTCAAACACACTACACCTACACTACTAACATTAGTACAAATATATTCAATGTCGGAAGTTTCTAACAATTTTGAAGTTTTTCCGAAAACTTTACGTCAATACGTTGTCATTAATAGTTAATGCCATTACAATCAGTCATTGTTAGACTTCGACCTAAACAAATATGGATGATAATAGCAATTTTTTTTCGATATTTTTCAATAGTTAATTTTGCTTTTACATACTGAATATAAAATTTGACAATGCAATGCATGACAAAGTCAACAATTCTACAACTGCCTGTAAGTCGTAAAATTAAATTTCTAGCGAACTTTTAATTGCAACTGACATTCAATAAGCTTGTCGTCTTTTATTAAACATTTTACATCTTTAATTTTTCATTTAAGCAAATTTTCTGAATAAATTCTAAGAACTTTGTCTGTAAATAACTTGAATTTCAAGAAAATTAAGTAAATTGTTCTTTACAGAACGGAGGTGCAGCGGATGGGTTAGACATGAATGTTGGGTACGCCTGGAGAAAAGGCTATACAGGCAAAGGAGTAGTTATCACTATACTAGACGATGGAATACAACCTAACCATCCCGACTTAAAACAAAATTATGTAAGTACATAAATAGTATACTTTTCATATTAACTTGTCTTATTAAAATTAATTCTTTCCTCTCCAACTAAAAACACAAGAATGTTATAAGTGACTCAGTTTATAATAAAGAACAAACAAATTAATTTTCCCATTAAAACTTTCTATTTCATAAATAAAATTCATATTCCTAAATTAATTTTAACAAAGTTCTTTTGAGACGTTCGCTGAGTGAATTACATTGAATTAGAGACGCAAATATTGTAGGATCCGGCCGCGTCGTCGGACATAAACGGGAACGACACAGACCCCACGCCACAGGACAATGGGGATAATAAACATGGCACCCGGTGCGCTGGAGAGGTCGCTGCGGTTGCCTATAATCGATATTGCGGCGTTGGTATCGCATACAATGCCAGCATCGGAGGCGTTAGGATGCTAGACGGCCTTGTTAACGACGCAGTGGAGGCCCAAGCGCTCGGATTCAACATTCATCACATAGACATCTATAGTGCGTCCTGGGGACCCGAGGATGACGGCAAAACCGTCGACGGTCCCGGCCCTTTAGCTAGAAGGTACTTCCTAATTGCATGCGATTAAGAGATCTCCGCTCGCTAGAGGGAAGCTCATTAAAATTATTTTGTTTCAGGGCTTTTATAAATGGTGTCACTAATGGACGGGGTGGTAAAGGTTCTATTTTTATATGGGCGTCGGGGAACGGAGGAAGGCACACAGACTCCTGTAACTGCGACGGTTATGCTAATAGTATATTTACGATATCAATTTCAAGCGCAACACAGGGTGGCTATAAACCTTGGTATTTAGAGGAGTGTTCGTCGACTCTAGCGTCCACTTATAGTTCAGGAACGCCAGGTCGGGATAAGAGTGTGGCGACGGTAGATATGGATGTTCAATTAAGACCCGATCACATTTGTACAGTCGATCATACAGGGACCTCAGCTTCCGCCCCTTTAGCTGCCGGGATCTGTGCGTTAGCTTTAGAAGCCAATTCCCTATTAACGTGGAGGGATGTGCAACATCTTATAGTAATGACTTCAAGGTCGCAACCTTTAGAAAAAGAGGATGGGTGGATTGTGAATGGCGTAAAAAGAAAAGTTAGCCATAAATTCGGCTACGGACTTATGGACGCAGCTCAAATGGTGACATTGGCCGAGCAATGGATGAACGTGCCACCACAACATATTTGTAAATCTCAAGAAATAAATGAGGACAAGTCGATAGAAACTTCGTTCGGGTATACGATATCCGTACATATGGACGTAAATGGATGTAGCGGCACGATGAATGAGGTCAGAGTTTTGGAACATGTTCAATGTAAAATTTCACTCAGCTTTTTCCCGCGAGGAAATTTACGGATACTGCTTACGTCACCAATGGGGACGACATCTACGCTTTTATTTGAAAGAACATATGACGCCACCAGTTCTAACTTTGATGATTGGCCATTTTTGAGTGTTCATTTCTGGGGCGAAAGTGCAGAGGGTAGATGGACACTTCAAATAATAAATGCCGGGAATAATCATGTGACTCAACCTGGAGTGTTAAAGAAATGGCAATTAATATTTTATGGTACGGCAACAAATCCAATACGATTACGCAATAAAAACTATTTTGCTTCTAACATGGTGTTTCAAAAGGATAAAACTTATCACGTGAACGATGTTTACGATGCATCTGAATATTCACAATTCCTGAAGGAGATAGAGCTCGGTATTTCCGATAGACGTAGTTATCCTAAAAATATTCCTTCAGCTCAGCGAAAAAATGTTTTAGCAGATGCTAATGATAAACAAGTCCAGAGACTATGTGACCCGGAATGTGACTCTCAGGGATGTTACGGCAAAGGTCCGACGCAATGTGTAGCTTGCAAACATTATCGATTGGACAATTCTTGTGTATCGAGATGCCCACCGCGAAGTTTCGTAAATCAAGGGGGCGTATGTTGGCCTTGCCACGAATCATGCGAGACATGTGCAGGAGCCGGTCAAGATTCTTGCCTCACTTGTGCCCCGGCACATTTGCTGGTAATTGACTTGGCAGTTTGCCTACAACAATGCCCCGATGGCTATTACGAAGACCCTGATGCAAATGCTTGTTTCCCTTGTGCGGAACACTGCGATACTTGTTCGGAAAAAGCTAATATGTGTTCGTCATGTGCTCATAGTTATGTTTTATACAATGGATCATGTATGGCGGCCTGCCCACCTGGCACTTACCAAAAAGATGACTTTGGATGCATGCCATGTCACGAATCGTGCGAATCTTGCAATGGTCCAAATGAAACGGCTTGCGTTTCTTGTCGAATTGGAGATTACGTGTTCAATAGCCGCTGCGTTTCAAAATGTCCTTCAGAATATTACGCAGATGCTCAACGTAGAGAATGCTTAGCGTAAGATATATTTTATACATCTTATTATACTGTAGTTCATTAGGGTTTCGATGGACAATAAAGCAATATCTTAAATTTTAGGTGCCCTATCGGATGTTCTATTTGCACATGTGCCGTTTGCTCTGTTTGTCAAGAAAAATGGATTCTCACGAAAGGGGGAAATTGTCTCCCGGAGGGCAATGATAAATGTGACACCAGTGAGTAGTATTTCCTTAAAATCAACTATTTGTAGCCTTTAATTAATGAAGTCTTTATTTTCAGATGAGTATCATGAGGGAGGTCGATGTAAAAACTGCCATTCCACTTGTGAAAAATGTAGCGGACCAAATGAGTGGGACTGTTTATCTTGTTCTAGTCCTTTGTTATTGCAGGGATCGAGGTAAGGGTACTTTATTATGAGGGTCCTTTTCTCATATGTGCCTTGAAGTAGTCTTATGAGATGTTTGGTTTTAGGTGCGTAGCGGAATGCGGGCAAGGATATTATCAAACAGCCGGAAAGTGCTCAAAATGTCCTCATACGTGCTTGAGTTGTGTTTCAAGATTAAATTGCACGGTTTGTGCTGGTGCCTTAAGATTACAATCCGGAACCTGTAGAGCGACATGTGCTCCTGGTTATTATCCTGATGAGGGGATATGTTCGAAGTGTTATTTGTCTTGTCAGACTTGTACTGGACCGAGAAGAGACCAGTGTGCTTCATGTCCACCAGGGTGGAGATTAGCGGCTGGGGAATGCAGACCTGAATGTCCACAAAACTTCTTTCCATGGGAAGATAGTTGCCGTCGTTGTCATCATTACTGTCAGGATTGTCACGGTGCTGGACCTCAGAGATGCACGTCGTGTCCACCACATTTTTCCTTAGAAGCAGGTCTATGTGTTGAATGCCTTAGTTCTCAATATTACGAACCTAGAACAAGAACTTGCCGCCCATGTCACGATTCATGTAGATCCTGCTCTGGTCCAGGTCCAACAAGCTGCGTAACGTGCGCCCATCCGCTTCGTCTAGATAGGTAAATAAAACATTAAAAGCCAATTTCTATCTTTCCCAATTTTTGCCAATTTCAATCGCTATCTCAATAGGACTTGATTTCTCGTTACCAGTGAAAGAGGGGTTACGATAAGAATATCTGTAAAATTATTTTCGTCCTTTTAAAGTGCACGTCTCTAAAAGAAGTGTAGCTTGCCTGGAAGCATTAATTATTCTAATACAAGAAACACATCTATAAATAAGTAACGTATTCGTGGTATAGATATTTCAACTCCTTTTAGAATTAGACGTCTAAATGAAGACCTTTCAAACTTGTGTAACAATTTCTGGCAAGGCTTATTAAAACATGATAAATTCTTGAATCTATTTGAAAAGTCTTATAATATTAAAGTATTACAATAAGACATTTATTTCTTGGAGTAAAACTTTTCTTTGTTTCAGGGTAAATCATAAATGCTTACCATGTTGTACTGAGAGTATGGTATCAACATATTTAGGCACTAATTATTCAACAGACTGTTGTCATTGCGATAAAGATATAGGTAAGTTCATGGACGTATAATGTTCTATATATCTCGTTTTTTGGGGAGCAAACTTATTTATATTTAATTGCAAAAAATAAATTATTAGCGAATATGTTATCAACATTCTTTACGGATCAAAATCTTTCTAAATATCTATACTGCCCTCGGAGAAAGAAAGTCACAAGTAAAATTTCAAAGATAAATGAGTTTAAAAATTATCTACTTTTTCTGATAAAAATAATACTTAATAAAACATTATATTTTTGATATTATATGCTGGTGAAATTACAGACACATGGGACTTGTTAACTTATGTCTCAGGGTGATGGGCGCAGTGGCGGTGCCCTTCAGATCTTTGCGATTGAAAAAATTCAGAAGCTCTGAGTGGCACTGCAACTGTTATGGAAAGGCGTGTTACCATCAGGCGCACGACTTGTTCGTCCCGTCACTTAGTATTATAAAAAAAACTTAGTACTTTATTTATATTAAATATAGGGAAAAAAAATCACATAAGACGTATTTTATATATAAATTTTTATTTTATTTTAGTTCACATTGTTTACCTTCATTTTCGCTTTTTACTTATAAGAATAAAATTGATACAAGTTTTTATAACTTAGGAAATGAAACTATTTTTCCGGATTTAAATCGCGTATATTTGTTTTTTCAAACAAACCGACATTCCGGGTTTTACAGGTCCCATGGTCACGGTTGGTTGATATTTTAACCTAATAAAAGTCAAATATCGCTTTTATGGAAAACAATCTGATTATTGACGTCAACCTTTTGAGTCTACAAATAATTAGGTAGTCAGACCTTCCTGATCTCGAGTATGCATGAAACTTTGTGCTGTGTGGAGTTTTGTGTTTTTTTTTTCATTCCAAAGGCAGTATATTTCTCCAAAATTTTCAAAAACCTAAAATTGAATAACACTTACGAAATACATTTTTCGAATAAAAATCTTATTTTTAATCTTCCATTTGCCTGACATCACAAAAACCGGATCCAACAAATCTTTTCAACCAATAAATCAAGGGTTGTCTTGCAGGAGGTTGCTTAAACGGCTCATCTGCCGGGAAGCGTCGCATTTCAGAAACGGTCCGCACTCATATAACGGCACAATTTTTTGTTGACGACCAAAAGGAGGCCAATATCCTGCCGGTTGATTTATTACTCGGTTGGACCGTGGGGTCTACACTTCTTTTCGCCCTTGCTGTCGTCATCGTCGTGAAGGTAGCTAATCAGATTTACTTTTTGCTCATAATTCTGAAGTTTTTTATTGTTGTGATGAGGTTATGTGATTATGGTCATGACCTTTTGATATAAAAGCTATTATTTGAACGACATACTACGATATATTTGTAAATTCAGCTGACTAGCGTTCTTGGTGGTGACACAATGTGGGAAATATGTTTTCAATCTTCTTTTTCGTTCTCAGGTAAGATCAAGAAACAGAAAATACAGAAAACTCTTCCCTCGTGCAGAATATTCCCAATTAACGACTATAGACGAAGATCTCGTCACCATGACGTCATCGACGACGATTCTTAAAGTGTTACCAGTGGATGATCCATTGAACGATGTGAGTGAATCTGTGTGTGGACTTGATGAACCAAATATATGTAACGCGAAGATGTAAGCTACGTTATAGGGAAAAGGGACCTTTTCATAATAAGAACATTATTATTATTGTTGTTTTGAGAGTTGCTGGCTTAAGAATTCTTTTTTTCACGTGTTATACTCTAGTCTAAGTCATGCTCTCTTAAACGTAAAATTTTTTTCATTTTCAATTCAATTTTCTTCCCCCTTTTTTTTGCTTTAAGAAAGTTCATTGCACTTTGTATGATAATAAAATTTGCAAAATTAACTTATCATACTTGTAATGGATTGGCCAAAAAGTCGGTGCGGTTTATGCCACTAGTTAATTTTAGACAAAAAAATTAACTTTCTTCTTATTAAGATGTTATGTTGTGTTATGGTCGATTTAAAAATAATATTTTAGCACAAATTTCAAGAATAGATAAGAAAGTTTTAGTTTTATAACTCATGAAAAACGCTTAGAACGGGTGAATCTTAAAAGTGGAGTATTTCACTATGACATGCCAAACCACAGACATCTTTACAAAATCGGTAACAAATATTTTACCTCATCCTACGTATTCACCCGATATAGCCCTTGCAGATTTTCGCTGGTTTCGGTCTTTACAAAATTGTTTGACTGAATACGACTCAGTCGTGGCTTGTATATTTAAATGACCACCACCACGCGCGCGCTCCAGGCTAGTTTCCCATCGCCATACCATATAGGGTATGTGCCGCATGACTTATAGTGTAGTGTCTCGTACAACTGCCTTCGCTCTCCCCATTCACTCTACCCCTAACATGAAAAGGTTAAGGAAATTGAGTAAGGCTAAACAGCGGAAGCACGTCCTTTCATTTAAAGTGCACCTCTCGAATATCCGATGTCTGCACTCCAATCTCTCATCTGTCCACCACCATCTTGAGACTGAAAGGCCTCACATGCTCTTCCTCACGGAGACCCAAATTAGATGTCCTTCCGACTCGGCGTATCTGCATTACCCAGGTTACATTCTGGAGCACAAATTTAAGCAGCGCGCTGGTACTTGCGTTTACGCTCGTGATGACATCTGTTCTAAACGTCTCCGTAACCTCGGAGACCCCGATCTTTATGTAATGTGGGTTCTGGTGGACACTGGACTGGAACAAATTGTCTACGCCAGTGTGTACCAGTCGCATTCTGGAGACCCGGAGACGACTAGGCTGTTCAACTATCTCGGTGGAAACAGTCCAACAACGGTATCTTAAAGCGCAACTTGTCTTTTTGGGTGACTTTAATGCCCATCACCAGGAATGGTTGTTCCCATACCAAAAAACCGACCACACTGGGAGAGAGGTGCGGGCATGTGCTCTATCGCTAGACCTCACCCAGCTGGTGAGTTGCGCTACCCGGGTACCGGACGTTGACGACCACACAGCAAATTGCCTGGATCTTCTGCTGACAACCGATCCAGACCGCTATCAAATATCGGTCTCGTCCCTACTAGGGACATCCGCTCACTGTCTGGTACTCTGTATCTGTCTACTCTCCACCCGATCTCAGTACGAGAAGTACTAGGTGGATGTGGCGATACAAGTCAGCAGATTGGGATGCTATGCAGCATTTCTTTGCATCTTATGCCTGGCGGCAGCTGCGCTTCTCGTCTGACGATCCGACCTGCTGCGCGTTTGCCGTCTCTGAGGTGATTATTCGGGCTATGGAATACTTTATTCCGTATTTCGAAGTCTTCTCCAGCGGCAAAGCTCACCCTTGGTTTAACGCTGAGTGTGCTTCTGCGGAAACGCTAAAGCAATCGGCGTACCAGGCTTGGGCTGATGCTCGAGATCGCAAAGCACTAAAGTCTACCGCCACTCAATTCTTGTTGCATATCAACGACTTGCTGCTGATGCCCGGTATCTTTGGGTACGCAGACGACAGCACAGTGGTAGAGAGTTTTGTGCCAGACGCCCGAGACAACAGCGAATAGATCCGGTGTAAGCGAGAGGCGATGGTCACCCGGTTGAACCTGAGTCTGAAAGCTGCTTCCGACTGGGTCGATGCTAACAGGGTCAGGTTTAATGCGGCTAAAACACAGGCGTGTCTTTTCACATCAAAACGGAGTCCCCTACACCTTGCTCCGACTTTCCGAGATGTATCCGTGCCGATGGGGTCCACCGTGAGCTGCTTGGTCTGGACTTATCATCCAACCTCAACTTTGGGCGACACATCGAGTGCTTGGCAAAAACTGCTGCCACAAAACTAGGCATGCTTTACACGGTCAGGGGGTACTTCACACCTGAACAGCTTTTAAATCTGTATAAAGCTCTAGTTCGATCCTGTATGGAGTACAGCTGCCACTGTTGGGACGGCTCTGCCCATTACCAGTTAGCTACCTTGGACTCGGTGGAGCGAAAAGCAAAGAGACTTATTAACAATAATTCTCTTGTGGAGTCGAAGCTTTAAAAACTCGACCATCGCAGAAAAATAGCTTGCTTATCGGTTTTCTATCGGATACATTTCAGGGAGTGTGCGCAGGAACTTTTCAATTTGGCTCCGCCCTCACCGTTCCTCCTTCGGTCGACTAGAAGGTCCGGAGCACTCCATTCTTATGTCGTTGATATTCCACCTATTCGTACTAAGCACTTTGCTTCCTCCTTTCCCATCGTCGGTCACATAGTCGCTTAAAATCAGGTGAGATTGTGGCCAAGCGTGAGTCTATTATATATTAAAAAAAACTTTGTTCACATATAGTGCAGCACGATTAACTGTCGTTCACGACTTTTTTGACCTTACGACGACAGACTGTCGTGACAATAGGAATAGCTAGAACGATAGTCGTCCGACGATAAATAAATCTTCACGATAAAATGTGACGACAGATAATCGCAGCTTCAAACGACTCTGTCGTGCAAAATGGCAGCTGTCAAACGATAAAATAACGATACGACGTTATGGCAACGCGCCCTTACATAACGAAGCGACTATCAAACGACACGAATTTTTATGAAAAGGGAATTCTAAAATTACTTGAAAGTTGGCAAAATATCAATATAATAATAATAATTATAATAATAATAACGCACACACTCAACATAGTCCCGCACTAGGGAAACCCTGTGTCGCGGGTGCTACGGACACACACATAGACAACCACAAATTACACCCAAACTCACGAGAGAAATAAATGTAGGCCATATAAATATTTCTCCCATGGCCATGGCTCAACATGGCCAATATGTTGTGTAACAAATGATTCAAATTTGATATACTTTTTAAAATATTTTTCGCTTAAACTTTGACACCGCATAGACGGAGCCAATCGAATCTAACATAAAATTAATGAAATAAAAATAAATAGACGTAAATTTCTAAATGACAAGGTCCGTCAAGATGATTTCTTGTTTTATGTCATCGGTTGGTATTATAAAAATAAGGTCCCTTTTCACTGATAACTTTTAAGTAGCATAATTACACGGCAGACTGATATGTAGTATTGAGTACATACATTTTATTGTGTAAATAAATCATTTACAAAAAAATTTGGAATCTCATTGATGTAAAAATTACTGTGTTTCTTTTAATTATTCGAGTCGGTTAGAAAAAATATTTATATCATTTAGTACGTTTTCAGACGGGAGATTGCCACAGGGAGACAGACGTGGTGAGAATAGCTTTGATATAAACAAATAAAACAAGTCAATTTTTTGAATAATTAAAAGTATTGTTTATACAAATAATAAATTTAAAAAAAATTAACAAATTCTTTGACTGATTTTGTCAAACGGTATTTGAGTCACCATACATGTTTGTGATTGACTCTTGAACAAATAACAATATCCATATTGTTGTTCCTTGTTTTTTCCGAAAAAGTAACTTATCCCAAAAACTACGTCGAGATGTATTAATAAAATATTTAAAAAATATTTTTATTTGTACCAATTTTCCACACAATGTTACTTTGATTACTTGTTTATGGTACCTATTCTATTTTGTATATATAAAAAAATTTAATTAATTCCATCATAAAAAATATCTTTTTTATGTGAATGCTCTTATTATTGAAAAGTACTGAATATGAAAATATATAGTTATGTATTGTATAAACAAATACCATATATGACATTTTATTCTTCCATCACGAACACGACAATTGTATGTTTAATATACATAGATAAGTAGAGAAATAACTCCACAGAGGCATTTGTTTTTTTGTACCATAGTGTTCCAGTGTATGTTGTTCGTTTTTTGTACAGCTTAACATAATAATTAATTGTATTTTCTTTAATTACGCAAGTGCCGGACCAGTAATTTCATTTTAAAGGGACCTAAAAGGCACTTAGACCTCTCCATGAAAATCCAAAAAAGTGAGAAAATTTGTTATTTAAAACCTAAAGGAGCAAACGAGATAGCTTAAAATCCAACAGAGTTTAAGCTAGTAATGTAATTTTACGACCTCCGTAGTCCAGTGGTTAGCTCACAGATTTTCATAGCGTCGCCGCCGTTGAGGGTCGATTCCCGGCCGGATCAATGTAGAAAAACTACCTTTTCCTCTACTACCTCGGATCTGGGTGTTTGTGGTACTGTCATTGATTTCGAATTCTATGACTCAATGTTTTAGTTACTTGCTATGGGATCAGAACAACATAATATGTGATGATGTCTAAAAAAAATTTATTTAATTTAAACGTCAAACTCTTCTAAACTTACATGTACTGAGTAGAACCGCCAAGAATTAGTAAGTAGGTCTTGATTCGATTTTCACGTAGAGGTCCGCGCTGCTAAATCTTTTCAAATCATGTGTAGTTTAGTTTATTACATTTTCTCTCCCTGTAACTGCGAAGAAAAACGGTACGTAACCTGCATGTGAAAGAAGGCTCACGGTATTCGAAGACATATATAATCAACCCACATTGGACTTGGATACCAGTAGTGGCATGTAAATGGTTTAATTAAATCATATATCGTTGATCTAATGCTCTGACGTCAAACAACAAGGGTGGCATTATATTCTTTTAAATTCACATTAACTCAGGATTTCACGGTAAAATCTACTTCTTATTATATACTAAAATATCCTAATTAGATTAAGTTTGTTTCATTCATCTAGAGTCTAATGTTAACATATCCTGAATGTATCTTTGTTTTATCGCTGTGTCATATAACTGTCGAAGATTCTACTATATG